AAGAATCGCGATCTGGACTCGATTGAGGTTGGGCTGCATGGGATTATTGGGAACGGTGGGGACTATTTGGGTGTACTCCGTAGACAGGACGGGTTGTTCTGCGATGCATCAGCTTGAGTATGGTACGCTACGTGTTTCTGAAATGGGCAATAGGAAATATCTTACCGTACGATGATCGGCTGGTGGAGTAACCATGTACCTGGCCGAATACGAATACGACGGGTACGAGGTAAGCCTCGGCGTCGGCACTTGTGGTATCCGTGTTACAGGACAAAGGTCAATAATGGAACAATAATAACGGGAGACGAGATCAACTTTATCTGGTAGTCCGTTGTCGGTGAGACGATGAGCCATCTCACTAATCAGTGCAGCACAGCTAGGGTCTTCAACTCGTCTGAAAATTTAGACAGTTAGAATAGTAGGTAGTAGTTAGGGACACTGTGAAAACTGGAAACATTCAAGCGGCATTAGATAGCCCCAAGCTAGTGTAGGGACTACGTAGCCCGCTTTAGCCTTCTCAACTCATGATTCAAGGAGGCTTAATCCGTACCAGTTAGAGGCTTAGAGCAGAGTTATGGTATACGTAACCCTCGACGCGGCTGCAATGCTTGCCCATTCCTTCGCGTCAGGTCCAGCTCTGGAAGGTGATGTGCTTACAGTTCCTCGCAGTTACGGCAAGATGTACGATCAAGTCAATGAGCGTGTCGGCACAGCCCCTGATACCGGTCCTATGATGACAATCGCTCCTACCCCTCTATGCGGGCAGGAATCAGTGATGTTGATGAGCAGTGTCTAGACTCTCAGCGAGTGATGATCAGCGCTTTGGTCGAATCTTGGCGACGTGTCACTTTCCTCATCAGCTTAGCCGCTATCGCCATATGTCACCTGCCGTTATGCGTTAGGTATTCTCAGGTTTGGTTTAGATATGGGTTTGCGCTTGTGAAAGATGAGACGGGCTTCCTTGGGAAAAAAGGGACATCCAAGGAGTCAAAGACGCATGCGCCATGCTTTGAAGTATATCATTTTGCTGAATTCGCCCCTGCATAACAACAGTAATAGCTCGCATGCTTGTGCCCTTCTGCGCCGAAACCATCATGACATGCTGAAGGAGTCAGAATATACAGACCTCAGTTCATGGGTAAGATGCGGAAGCTCCACAGAAAGAGTTCCCGCTGACTGCTAGCCTCCTGACGCGTATGTTGCAATTATGTGGAGTAATTCTTTCGGCAATAGTGGGAGTGGCCTGATCTCTGATGCTAAACAGTTGCGACACCGGACAGGCCAGTTTGAGATTAATGATATCTAAGCCCGAGCTCATTATCTTAATGGAGTTATGGGCGGCTCCTCAGCCATCGAGTCAACGTTGACAACGCGTATGCGCAATTCATCATGTGTCCAGAGGAATTGCTGGATTTAGGAGCTCTGCTCAGCATGGACATCATGATCATTTAGCAGAAAGGGAAACTAGACCACGATCAGGACACGCCTATCATCAAGCGAGTTATGTTGTCCCTTAACCAAATCAGGGTCAGCATGTGGCTTGTGGCTTCTGGTTCGTTCAGACAGTTCGACGAGTAGACGAGGACTTAACCCGTTATGGGTGCAAACCAGCGGTATGAGAATAGATTTGAAGCTTTAGTCTGGTTTTCGAGAACACTGATGGAATGGAATGGGACAGAGTAGTCAGGTTAACTCACTACCTAGACCGCACTGGAAAACAATTCGTGTGAAAGAGAATGGTAAGGTACATCCACAGTGGAGCTCAGCCACATACAGAAAGTAACAATTACTTACATACAGCCGTACTCGGGTTTCCCACTTCTGACCATAACAAATCCGAGACGGGCGGACAAGAGTACCCAAAAAGGGATTTGATAATCATTATTGATTATCTGATGTGCAATCAAACTCGGCATTCGCAATTATGATGGCCGAGATACATCGACATAAGTCAATTCGGCTGAGAAGCGAAGAGGGCCTTAAGGAACTCTCTGATAATTCTGTAAATACCTCTGACGACTCAATGCACAAATTGTTGTTTGACCACTGCACTTGCGGGACTTTGGAAAGGATGGGAACCTGTATGGGTAAAAGCTTGTCCGGGGTTATTATACAGGGCAGGTACAGAGCGGAGGGAAAACAAACCCTGGTCATAATAGGCAAAAGGACTTTCTTCCAAGCACGAGCTGCCAAAGCTGCTTATCCGTACAAAGCACATCGACATACCTAGATCTAATCTGATAAATTCATAGAGTATTCGGTTTGTAACTCTTTCAGCGCTGATCTAGGAGCAAATAATCGAATAAATCTCAGGAACAGTACGTATGTACTTGTTTTTGGTAATCCCAATATTATTTTACTTCTTAAGGTGGAATTCCGGTATGCCCATGCATAATCAGTATTTGAGTTCCGCCTCCAAGTTTCTTTATTTACATGCAGAAATTTCCTTCCGGAGGAATACAGTGTCTATGTATTATTTAGTTAATTAACTAAGGTACCACACTGCACCCAAGACTCCAGACTCCTAGGTTTATAAATGCTAAGGACGCCAGCAATCTATTTCTCCCTTGTCATTGGTATGCCAGCCTACCCTAATCAATCCTGAGTTAGTCGCTTCTACTAGGAGCAGGGACTTTTGGAACTTTTTAGTCACTTCCACAAGACACCACATCAACGGCACTACAGCCGACCTAACCGGGGACCAATCCCTTACCTCGAATGTCATCCTGTTTGCTCAAAATAATATCTACGGTATTAATCTATTTATTCACGCCTTCGCTAGACTATCTAGCTGACGACGGACACACGTATCAGCCAGGGGCGCAGCCAATGGTGGTGGAGCGATAAACCTGGTTTGAACGGGGTCCTGAGGGTTCTGCAGATGAAGGGTCTACAGTCTATATTTTACGTAGGCAGTAAAATATTACTACGACGGAGGATTAGGTATCAGAACAATTCATATCCTAATACTGGTACCTATCTTCTCTTCACTCAGCATCATGGTACTATTGTATGCCGCCTGCGGTCTGTGGTAGCTTTCTTAGGTATAAGTAGACCATCAGATTAAACATGTACCAGAGAATACAAGTACCTGACAAACCCCTCCTGGCGTAGTCAGCGGAGTAATTGACCCCCGTAGACTAAAGCTCACACACCCACAATACTGTGGCTATTCCCTTGGTACGCCCCATAACTTTTTGTTAGTTGTTACCGGACCCCAGTATCAGCCAACTAGTGTGCCCAAGTTCTGGGTGTACTTCGGAGATACCTGAGCCACATTTATGCCATGGACCACGGAGTAATCTTCCTAGAATCTCCTTGACAATGCGTATGCATGTGTTCCATATTTCGCACTCCAAAAAATAAGGTATCTATTAATTTCAATTTCAGACATCAGACAATATACAGTGAGATAGACACTGATTTCTTTTGTCGTACCTTGGCAAATTTACTTCCCTCTGTACCTCTCTGGTATACATGCTTGTAATAGGGGTAAGACCATACTTGTCCAAATTACGGCTGACCTAAGACCATCTATCTTTCTACATATCAAAATAATACATCCATCTATTGCTTCCATCTGGGTTGATTATTGGGCATTTTGTCTTAATATTCTACAAATGAAGATGCCTATTTTCAGCTCCACTCCCTCCACTAGTGCTGTGGATTCTGTATTCTTGTACTCAAACCACCAAGCCACTAGTTTATTCATTGCTCACTGACTTTCAGCATGGCCAGAGCTCCTCCGGAGACCCTGGACGGGTTTCAAGATGCTCTTGCTAACCTCTGTAGTCAGTCTTCGTCGTCGTCGCCGTCGTCGTTGCCGTTGTCGTCGTCTGCTACTTCTTCTTCCTTTAATACTCTTTGGCTTCATATTTTTTCTCTCTCTGCTCCATCTCTCCCTTCTCCTGACTTCCTGTCATTCATCACCTTTTCTCCGATCATCAATCTGATTTCCGCTTCTCAGGCCCCTCTACTCTCTTTTTTCTTTCCTAATCCGACTCTTCCGTTCCCCCTCCTCTATAATCGCTCCCACATATACCGTCCATCATTGACATATCATCTCTCCTACTTTTTATCAAGCAGTTATCGGACTAGTTCCTCATCGAGGGATCTATCGGCCATCCAGTCTGCTATCTTCATCGATTCTGTCATAATTTGGTGACCATCTCAACTACCGCTAAACTCATTATCGCACGTGAACTAGAGCATTGGGCTCCATTAATTTTCTGGCATTGGTATTTTTCTCGCCTCGCACGTTTCTAAAGGAGCGTGGCAAGAATTCTACATCACGCATTTCCAGAGAAATTCTGTCGAGTTTTCTCTCTGGTGCATAAGGCGAGCACTACGACCGGTCCAGTTTGAAACCTCTGTCAAGGGCATCGCAACGCTCCAACGATCGATTTCTTTCTGCCAAGAGAACAGGAGGATTTGCTCTGCGATAACTGCTCCATACCGACTTCTATCGATTGGCGGTGGATCGTTCTTGGCCCTTGGCTCTTCTTACGATCAAAAGGGCTGTGTAAGACCCATCCGGGAATCCAGCAGCGTCAAGACGGCAGACCGTAAGGCAGAGACGCCTTAGTTTACTTATCACGCTTCTGCTGTCCGATCAGCGCAATCAGTTGTGCTCTCTGCAGATCTGGTCGTGTTTCACGAGCAAAGGAACAAACATATTCAAAGGCAGCTGGTTCGTCCGTCTTCTTTTCATACCGAGTTCTTCTTTTCTGAGAGTTTCCTGTGCGCATCTTCCCTTCTTTTGTCTTCTTCCTCTTCTACTTTCTTTGAGCATTTTCATCTGGGATGGACGGGTGGTCTTTTGCGGCCTCAGTCACACAGTCTTGAACTTGTTCATGGATAGAAGACAGAACGAGCGGAGAAAGCAAGCCAGGGGATATCAAATATGGACTGAGGGTTTATAACAGACACGAAGCCAGAGCGAAGTGCTAATCAGCCATCCTTTAATTCAGGTGCAGTCAGTAAGACTGCTGGGTCAGGAGATGGCCAGTTGCAAGTCAAGCTTCGTTTCCATCTTGAACAATGATGACCACCCATCATTTGCAGTTCGATCGAGCCCCGGGGTCTCCAGACAGCCATCCACCTCTTCATCATACTCGCAGCATTCAGAGCAACAGCCACGAACTTTGTTACCCGACTACAGCTATGGAGCTGCCTACACAGAGTCTACTGCACGATCTCCAGGCAGGGTAAAACGACAACCGTTTGATCCAGTTTCGGAAGCGATGCAGCCCGCGTCGCCTGGCTCCTCTGATTGCTCTTCCTACGACTACATCACTCAGAACAGCGCGGTCAGTTACTATCGCTCTGGCCGACAAGACTCGTACGCTTACCCCCCTCCCACGATTGCACCCGCCGAGAAGCGCCTGAGCGGCCATTCGGTGTCTGATCCCCCATCCCCGCCGCGATCCATTGGCGGATCTAAAGATGCAACCGGTGCCAAAGGGACCAGAAAGAACAAATACCCGTGTCCGTTCGCGGCCAGCCATGGATGTTCAGCGACTTTCACCACTTCGGGCCACGCCGCACGCCACGGCAAAAAACACACGGGAGAGAAAAGTGTGCATTGTCCAATATGCAACAAGGCCTTTACTCGAAAGGATAACATGAAACAACATATCCGAACTCACCGCACGCATTCAGAAGACATGCCTTCGGGAATAGGCGACCGCGATGGCGAGGCTGCCAGCAGCCAGTGGGCAACAGGGCGAACCAGCCCACCATACAGCCATTCGCGGTCGACGAGTCAGTCGCAGACGGATGGGCATGTCTATCACCGCAGCACGAGTACCATGAATATGACGACGTCTAGCGGAAGCCAACGTCGGCATTCGCCTTACTGAGTTGATGACTCTCTTTGAGCTGATAATGAGAAGACGATGCCTGAGGTGACAATGAGTTGAAGAGGATTCATGAGAAGGTTGTCAAGGCAGACGCGGGGGTTTGCCATATATTCTATCCAAGTTTTTTTCTATTCAGGTGGACGACTCTCAATGCGTCCAGCTTTTGATTCCGTTGGAGTCACGGCGTTTATATCGAAGAGGTGCAGATGGTGGCTGCTGTGCAGCACCCTTTCTCTGGTACTTTTATTCATCTCAAAGATTTTTGACTCCTACCGTCTGATAAAAGATGGCCAAAAACGGCTAGCATTATTTCTACGGATTCCGGTCGGGTGGAACGACTCGTTTATACCATGTATCATCTTCCTGCATGTTTTCCCGGTCGAATGGCCGTGTTGTTCATATTTTGATTTGTGAGACCAGCTTTTCAGCATTTTTCATTTTCCTCCATATGCCTTTTCATTCTGCGTGCATACCATGACGCGTGATCTGAGGACGTCCATGAAGGGCCTTTGCCGCCATGTACAGTACTCTCTATTTTGGTTGATAATGACCAGCAAAAGGACGCTATCATCCCTAAATGATACGAAATATCATTCTCAATACGATACGAATCGTTGCTGCATGTCTTCGAACATAGCTCCCTCAATAGTTTGGTCGAGTAAAAAGTATTGAGTTTGTAGACAAGACTGGACAATCTCCATGGAGAGATGACAGGAATAGTTAGTTATATTCGCTATATAGAGATCAAAAGCTTAGGCACTGGAACCACGGTACTAGGGCTTCTGGAACAGGAACCGATGGACCCAGAGATGGAGCCGGAGAAACCTCGGGTGCTTGATAAGTATATCATATCACTACGTGAATATCGAAGGTAGATAGTAATAATAACCTGTAAAGTAAATGGGGCTGATGATCCCTCTTCTATCCCTCTTCCATGTTCCAGACTCTGCAACGCAGCATGACGTAGGTGCGCCTGAATGCCTGATTAGCTAATTTGATGCCCAGTCCTTGTCAAATAGATGCCTGATGGATACCTGAGTGACCGGACAGCTGACACCGAGTGCCTGAGGCTGAGGCCAAGAGAAAAGAAGAAGAAGAGGAGCCACAAAGAACAACAGATGCAAGAGACGGATCATGCCACAGTCAGTTGAGCACCGCCTCGACAGGGCGGCAAATGAATGGATAAGTATCAAAGTATGAAATGGGGGTCCAGTGAAACCATTCTCATTCGACTCGAGTTTCACCAGTTCCATCCAGATACGTCACCGGCGCTTCTTTTCAGCCCGCTTGTTTTGCCCCCGCTTTGGCCCTTTTGGGGTGTCAGCTTGCTTTTCTTTACCTTAGTCCTTTCTTTCCATCTGCTTTCTTCGATCCCATCTTCATCCTTTTCTCATCCATATGCACCGCCTTCATCTCGTTTAGATTCAACTACTCCGTACCAGCTAGTGCTACCACTGCTGACAATGGCCTACTACGACGATCGTCACTACCATCCCGCCCGCGATCGATACCCCCGGCCAGGACCCCCCAGCTATGAGGAAAACCCCTACTACTACGGTGATCCTCGCAGTCGGGCCCCAACGGATCTTGTTCGTCGTCGCGACGGAAGCAGCGAGTCCTTGGATGACGTGCCCCGTCATTATCCCCCCAGCGATTATGGCTACGAATACGGTTATGGGTACCCCCCGAATTCACGACGGTCTCGAGGGGGTACCGGGCAGGAGGGGGTGCGCAGATCTCATTCGCTGAACGGCAGGAGGGGAGGCTATTACGAGGACTCGGATTACTCGTATCGACCCCGCCATGAGCATCGTTCGAGACATGAGGGCGACAGACGTATGTATTGCCTAAGGGAGCGATAGATGGGGAGTTGATGGACGGGGGAAAAGATAAAAGGTGATGAGTGCTGACGAATATAGGTGACCGCCACAAATACTCCCGTTCTCCATCAAGCAGCCGCTCTCCACATCGTAGACGGCGCAAGTCTTTTTCCGAGCAGGCCCTGGGCGCTCTTGGTCTGGGAGCAGCAGCGTCGTCGTCGGCTTCCAGACACCGTGATCATAGCCGTGGTCGCTCCCATGGTCACAATGGCCGGTCACACTCGTACTCTCCCTCGCGCTCTCGCAGCAGAGACCGTCACCGTCGCGGCATAAGCGAGCAGCGCATGGCTCAGGCTGCCCGGGCTGCGCTGACCGCGGCAGCTGTCGAGGCCTTCCGTGTTCGCAAGGAACCCGGTGAGTGGGCCGGCGAGAAAGGCAAACGGGTCCTCACGGCTGCAATTACCGCCGCGGGTACAGATGGGCTGGTCGACCGTGACCCGAACAAGCACTCGAAGCGCCACATCGTCGAGTCCACTCTTGCGGGGCTGGCGGCCAACCATTTCGTGAACGGACCACGGTCAAAGTCGAGATCCAAGTCTCGCGGTCGTGGCTCCGACAGCAAGCTCAAGAACCTTGCCGCCACGGGCGCTCTGGCTGCAGTCGGCAAGGAGGCCTACGAGCGCTTCAAGTCCCGCTCCCGGTCCCGTCACCGCGGCCGGTCCAGCTCACGCGACAGCTACGATGATAGTGACTCGCCGCGTCGCCATCGCTCGCGCAAGCGGAGCAAGAGCGTGTCGGACTACATCAACCAAGGCATGGAAGCGCTGGGCCTAGGGGACAAGGACAAGGACAGGGATGACCGGCGAGGAAGACATCGTGGGCGGCCCTCACGCTACGATGACTATTCGGACAGCGATCGGGATAGTGAGCCTGGGGCCAGACGGGCCAGGCACTCCAGAGATGTAGGTCGACCTCGTTCTGTTTATGCCACGCAACGGCCAAGTTCTGCCATCACCACTACGTCGGGAGCCAGGGCCTCACGTGCTGATGACGACGGCTTCCACCACTCCACCTCGGACAGTGAATCATCTTCTGACCTGGGAGACAGTTCCGATGAGAAAAAGAAGCGCAAGAAGCTCAACCACCAGGCCCTCATGACGGCAGGTCTAGCCACCATAGCCACGATCCACGCAGCGCACGGGCTGCACCAGAACATGGAGAAGCGCAAGCAGCGCATGAAGATGGTGAAGGAGGGCGAGATGTCACCTGAAGAAGCCCGCCGGCGGCGCATCAAAGCCAACCTCGCCGACGCCGCCAGCATCGGCCTCTCCGCGCTGGGCATCAAGGGCGCCATCGCCGAGTGGAAAGAAGCCGACGAGAAACGCAAAGAACGCGCCGAGTTCAAGAAGAAATGCGAGGAACATCGCCAGAAGCGTCAGCAGCGCACGCGCAGCAAGAGCCAGAGTGCCGCCGGCCCGCCCCCGCCCTCCTGGCGGACCGTCTACCCGGACGAGATCGAGGAGAATGCCAGTTCTTCGGGATACTTGCGGTCACATGCTGGGAAGGTGCGATCGCCAAGTGTCGGGGCGGATATGAGATACCGGTCTTCGTATTGGAGTTGATGTAAGTTGGGGCCGAGGTTTCCAGCGTTTTGATGGTATGCCACGATGATGATTATGATGCCACGATGCCGTATATGTATCACGACTTGACGACTTTCGGGTTTACTTGCGCTGTTCTTCCTCATTCGTCATCTGTTTCTCAGCGTTTGTGTATCGAGTCTAGAATGACTTAATAGCCTGATTTCTTTCCGCAGGAATTACATTTTTACTTTACTTAATAATGTGCCGGAGACGGAAAAAAAAAGATTGTGACATGGCATCAGTCCATGATGCATATGGCATTGATCCATTCAGACAGGCGGGATTGCGATCAGTATCAATACCGATGAACCCTTAACATGAAAGAAAAGACAAAAAGTCTATGTACAGTCCAAGCCAGTGACAAGACAAAGACGGAGACGAAAGGAGATAGAAGAGGGAGAGAGATACAGAGGGATGGAATCCAATCAATATACAAACACACAAACACCACGCCTTCCAGATGCCCTTTTAAACACGGGGAGGGTAGTAGATAGAAACGTAGAACAGACAGACAAATGACAAGATATGTGGTGGGAATTCAGAAAGGCAGACAGGAACGCTTCAACGCTCGCTCTCTTGCAGAAGCCAGATCAAAATCAAATGCAGGTGACGACGCTTGATGCTGATGCTAAGCTTGATGCTAGATGAACAGACTGGTAGCGGGTCGCTAGACTATCGATCGGCGTTGAGGTTCAGCCAGCTCAGATCCGAGTTTGGGTTGTTGCGCGAGTTCGCCGGCGCAGGTGCACCTGGGAAGGGCGTGGTGGGCATGGGCTCAAGCGCATCTGGGATCAAGACGCTCGAGCCGCGTGTGTTGATGGTGTCACGTTCGCGGCCGCTTGGGTTGTAGAAGCTGCGGCTGTAGGTGCTGCTGGGCGGACGGCCGATCCAGCTGTGGTGCGGGGCACCGAGCCACTGCGGATCGGGGGCTGGACCACTAATCGTTGAAGCGCCGTCGGGGCGGTCATGGTCGTGATCGTAATCCGTGTCCGATGCGGCGCTCAGGGAGCTGGCACTGGAGATACGGGCGGACTGCGACTCGGCGCGCTTCAGCATCTGGCCGATCCTGGGGCCGTCCTCCGTCGTGGGGCTACCGGTGACAACCCGGCCGAGTGGCTTGGGTTCCTCCAAAAAGCCAAAGTTCAACTGAGGGAGAGGCGCGCCGGGCCAGGCACTGACCCGATCCTCTGCATTAGACCGAGGGGCCGCGATGGACGGTGTGTTCGCTAGGTTGGTATTGGTGCCGTTGTTGTCTTGGAAGTACTTGCCCCAGCCCTCGTCCGTCGTGCGGTCCCCGGGCGGTTTGTCCCCGAGGGTCACGGCTTGCGCCTCGACGGCCTTGTCTGCGCCGACCGAGTATGTGCTGGACGGCGTCCAGTCACCGTTGGACTGGACGGTGGTCAGAGGACTCGGCTTGAGCGGCGACGATTTTGGCCCATAGCCTGGGAGTCCGCCGGCTGTCCTAGGGGTCTTTTCATCCGCAGCCCTGCCAGAGAAGATGGCGAGTGAGTCTACCGATGTGGACGCGAGCGGAGCTGTACTCTTGGCCATGGGATAGGCTGAACGAGTCAGGGGTTCCATGCCCTGATCCTGGAAGCTCAAGCGGTCCTTGTCATTGGCGCCTTGGCCCTGGTTGGCAGCACGCTTGCGGCCCAGCTTCGTCCGATGCAGGAAGAAGAGAATTAACATTAGGATTAAGATAACGCCCACCAGACTGCCAAGTGTCGCGCCGATGATAGTACCAACCCTCGAGCCAGATGAATCATCACTGGCGGCGGTGCTCGTACTAATACTCGAACTGGTGCTGGTGGCGGTCGGCGTAGACGAGGATGATGTTGTTGTTGTTTCCGGGATTGAGGCGAGAATCTGCTGAGGAGTTTTGTCTCCGTAGAAGAGCTTGGTTGTATTGACCCAGCTATTGGATGTCTGGTTGAAGATGGCCAGCGAGTCGGTACCACTGCCGCTCGAAATGACCACTAATCCGTTATCGCCTTGAGCGAGAGAGTAGTCCGATCTGGTCGTTGATGGTGCTAACGTTCCATCGTAGGTCGGGTGATCGGCCACAGAAACCTCCCTTCTCCTTTTCCTCCTCGAGGACGATGCGCTCAGATCAGTGCCAGAGCGCGCGGGCTGACCGCGAGGGTTGAGCAATGCGATGCTACTCACGGTGTTGGGCGAGACGTTCAGATTGAATGACTCAAGCGCCTTGCTTCCGTCCGATCCATTTACTATCGCGCATCTCACATCGCTGGACAGAGGCTGGGGGAGAAATACACCGGAGGAATGCCAGCCATCCGAGACTGAGAAGAGATGGACCTCTTTTGGAGTCGTCGCACCACCTACCAACGCCGCTTCACTATCGCTCCAAGGCAGAAGCACAGGAGATGAGGTGGGGTACTTTGCTAAATGAGCGTCGACCGTATACGGAGGAACGGTGCTAATAGTAAACGTGTCGGATGAAGGGTTGGAGCTATCCGTCTGACTCCCAGCGTAGACCAGCAGTATGGACGAAGATTTCAGATATACCGCGCCATGGGACGTCCGATTTTGCATCGTCCGCTGAGCTGTCTTTATCGTGGACCACTCTTGGGAATGGAACGCGAATCGCTGCAATCCTGGGGAATTCGAAGACGAGCTCATGCCACCGATCACGTAGAGCGCCTGTTGGCCTTCCTTACCGTCTATTCCACCCGTCACACATACCGCATCGGAGACCGGCTCTTCCGGGGGCATGGGCAATTCAATCCAGGTTCTATTGCGTTCGAGAGGGATGGCTGCAAATCCATTGGCGGAGTAGGTGTAGAGGGTGTTGTTGTGAATGACCGAGCAATGGCCCTCCAATTTTACAGGGGGCTCCGGAACGATCATATCGACTGGAAATTGGTGATATTTTTATGGTAACAAGGGAATGCGATGCGAAAAAAGTGGTCGAGTTCTTCGAGGAGACCAGCCGAAGACAATCAGTTGATAACCAGCCGTCAGAGGTCGGGAAGGACGAATCGACGGAACCAGGGAAACGAAGGTGACTGCCAGAGTGCTATCTCATGGTCGGGAACTAACAAGTCGTATGATTGACGAGTGATTGGCGACGAAGATGATTCCAGAGTTGAAACGAATGTGGGTGCTGGTCATAGAATGGATGGTCCTCCACGTGTCTAGTGATGCCGTCGAGTTGAGTTGGTAGTGGTCAGAGTCGCAGACTGAACGTTAAGAGTCAAATGCGATCATGAAGTACTGGTGGACTCAAGACCGAGTAACGAAGGAATGGCGACCTGGAGGACAGGATGATGTCAATATCAATTCGAGTCCAGCGCTTCAGGGGTAAAGATTACAAGAGAAATAACAGGATCACAGAGTCAGAAAAGGAATGATAATGACAGTGATACAGAAGCTCATACGTCGAATCAAGGGTCTACCTGAGTAACGAACGACAAGGAAAAAGAGAGAAGAAGAAGGCAATAATCAGGAGATGCCTTATGGAAATCATAATAATAATAATAGTAGTACTGGAAAGGTAGTGATAAGAGAGTACGGAGCTGTGTGGTACACGATCACGGGAACCGGAGCAAAAGATGAAACAACGGTTCTGGAGAGCAGCAAGAGGGGGTGGCTCGGAGAGTGGACCAGACCAAGAGTCGGAATGGAATCATCGATGATCTGGAAGACTTACGATTTTGTTTTGGCAGTAAATTTAGTTTATTCCTTGGGTTGTGATGAAAGCTGGATAGGAGCGAAAAACAGAAAAGAAACGAGACGAGGGAGAGATGGAGGGGAACCAGCACGAGTGCACAGCACAATGTGTGATGAAAAGAGAGAGAGAGAGGAACGAAGTAGAAAGAGTCCGGAGTAAACAAAAAAGAGAAAAGAGAAGAGAAGAGAAGAGACAGAAGAAAGACAATCAGGAATCCCTTAGTCGATGACTTACGAGTAGCAGCTAGTTAGCCTGTGCTCAACCATCAGAGTCTAAGATGATCAGAAGATCCCTTGACAAACAGACTTGATAGGTATTCATCAATTCTGGACTCAAACTCAGTATTACAGTCCAGCTTCAATCATCATCTCATATCCATCAAAATAAACAGCTTTAGACATTCATCTCCTGTGCATAGTACCTTGCATCAGGCACAGCAGCAGGTGCAAGGAAGTAACACCTCAATTAAACATTTGGTATTATTATTGCCTCCATGAGGTATCTATTTACCTACCTACGGAGTAGTCCGTACCCAAGGTAGAGCTCTATTTTCAGGGGTTCAAATCAACAAATCCCAACCATGGTTTGTCTGTCCATACCACATCATCCCAAGAAATGTCCAGAGTACTATCATCAATGATCTCATTCTTCTAGGCGACTAACATCAGAAAATCTCCCCCTTTCTTCCCGTTCAGCAATCTAAATCTCTCACTCTATTCCGAATCAGGTCAGTCTGAATCATGTCGTTATTGGTGGGGTTAAATTTTCGCCAAGATGAGTCAGTACGGTACAGTATATGACAATACAGTACTAGTCAGGCACCAACACCAGACACAAATGCAGGAACATGAGGTAAATGGTTGACCGATAAGTGCTCCATAGTACTCTTTCTCTTACTGAATTTATGATTATGATTCTGTTGGATTATTACTTAGACTTCAATGACCTGAATTCCGAATCGAGGATAAATTGAAGAAAGACAGTCCCACCAGCCACCCGCTTTTCAAACGACGGGTCATTGTTCGCTTCGGCTGGGCTACTAGTATGATCCACTTTTGCTTGGCTTAACACGTGCAAGGGACTACTCCATCGTCATCATCTTCATAAGGTATGGAATGGAATGCTAAGCCTGGTATCTTTGACCTCAATTCTTTGGCGTAGAGTACTAGTACTAGTAACTGGAGATGGTACACACGCTCGACATCTCCCACAAGCCCAAACGACTGCGTGCACCGGTTATGGTGCAACCTGCCCCCCGGTCTGCTTCCAACGGTGCGCCGCCTGCAGAATTTTGGTAAGGCTCGCCGCTGCCTGGTCGTCCGCCGGGAACACATAGTCCATGTACTCCTCGTACCGGTCGTCGTCCAGCTTGCGTCGCTTCTTGACCCGCCGGGGCATCTGCTCCTCGATCTTCTTGATGTCCTCGGGGGAGCCGTGTGTATGTTCGAAGGCCCGCCAGGCGTTGAGAAGCTCCACTCGCTGTAACTTCGTCAGTAACCTCTTCGCTGGACACAAGCGCCAATAACTCACCTCTTCCTTCATCTCCTTCTCCTTGAATACCTTGTGGGCCCGTTCGAAAACCGCGCGAGCCCGCCGTTTGGCCTCGTCGCTGACCGGCCGCTCCTCCTCCTCTTCTTCTTCTTCCTCCTCCTCTGGTACGTTGATCTCGAACCGCGCGTAGTTGATCCACACTTTGACGTGGTCTGTCTTCTGCAGGAGACGCTCGTACAGCTGCCGCACCCGGTCGTACTCGCCTTCGTACTCTTCAAAGTCAATGTACGCCTTCCAGACAAGCTCCGGCATATCCAGCGTCGGCTGATCGATCCCTAGCTCAAAGATCGCCCGCGCACGCTCTGAGTCGTCCAGTCCCCGTTCCAGTTCAGCGTACTTAATCCATGATTGGCTGTTGGACGGGTTCCATTCAATCTGCTTTTCGTACAGGGTGCGGCACCGCACGAACTCGAACAGCTGCCGCTCGAGGTCGATGTAACCCCGGAAGAGCTTGTCCTTGGGGCACATCCCAATGGCCTGACCCAGTGTCTTCCGCGCAGCCTGCAGATCCATCTGGCGGATGTCGAACTGCGCTTTCAGCAGCCAGATCTTGGCGAATGTGAACTTCTTATGTGGGATCAGCTTGAGGCATTCTGTGTAAATCTGACGGGCCCGGCCCACGTCCTTGGCCTCCATCTCCTCCCAAATGGCGTAGAAGATCCACAGGTAAATGTACCGTCTCCAATGCCGCTTCTCCTGCGACGGAGGGATCTGTGCAATGGCCCGTTCATAGACGTCTCGTACCCGATCTGGATCGCCCGACGTCTCTTCCAACCGGGCAAAGTCAAACCACACATCGTAGTTTCGCGGGTTCTCCTTGAGCTGTTCCTCGTATTGCACCCGGCGCTTGGACAGGATCACATCCTCGACGCCCTCTCGATCGCCGAACTGCTTCTCAAAAGTTGTGTAGGCCTTGTGAAGCGCCATCGCCTTGGAACGGGGCAGCCGGTCCAGTGCGTACTTGTAGATCGCTCGCGCGCGCTCATACTCTTTGAGCTTCGCCTCGAATTTGGCATACGCGATGAAGAGCTTCTCGTCCATGAAATCCTCACCCAGGGTCTCGATCGCCATCCCGTACACTTCCCGCACTAACTCACTCGTCCCATACTCCTCCTCGAACCGGGCCCATTTGATCCAGTTTCTCGGCTCCGGGTGGACGATCGTAAACCGCTGGAAGATCGCGCGCGCGCGCTCAAACTCATTGTACCGCTTCTCAAGTTTGATATATGCACTCCACGCGCCCTCGTCCGGCTCCCATGACATCCACCGCTCAAACACCTGCCGCGTACCCTGGATATTCCCCAGCGTCTCCTCCATGTACACATACTTGTACCAGAACTTGTCCACGCGGGGCAAGATGGTGACCGCCCGGTCCAGCAAGTTTCTCGCATGATTGATGTTGCGATTCCGCATCTCCGACTCGATATACCGGATCCAGAGAACCACCGAGGTCGGGTTGACGTCCAGCGCCCGTTCGAAGATCGATCGCGCCCGGCGGAATTCCTTCTGCTCCAGTTCCCAAGATGCATACCGCATCCAGTTGTTCATGTTCACCCGATTGCGGCGCACATAGTCTTCAAACTCCTTTCTCTTGCGGCCCTGGTACTCGTGCAATTCTTCGAGGTCCGCGAATCGCTGTGTCGGCGCCTGCAACGCGGGCTCCTGCCGATCAACAGCCTCGCGAAGCAGCTGCTCCGCTGAGATCTGGATCGGCGCGGGGGCCTTATTCTTGACCCTGGGAGGGCCGCGAGACGACTCCATGGTGACGATGGGTGGTGTGTAAGAGGTACGATGGATCAGGTATCAATAAGCGGAGATGGCAGGTCCAACTTCCGGTTGTATACGTGATAGAAGTAGCACACGCTTAAAAAGAAAAAGTCGGGGCTCGATGAGCAACCAAATCTGGACGTTGGATCCCCAACTCCAGCTGATCGTTGTCGAACAAGTCCGTTGGTCCTTCGTCCATCAAAAGTCGGAAGCTGCGCTCTGGGTCTCTGACGCCACCCGGATGACTAAGCGGTAGTCCCTTCCTTAGTGCCGTCTAGTTGTGGCGGGCCGACGACGGTAATTTCAACTTGACAAGCTGCCACATTTGCTTCAGCAGTTGACTGAGGTTACATTTGCTGCCATCATGTCGAACGCGGAGGAACTCTTGAGAGATTTTGAGGAGGATGACGAGGAATTCCAGGCCGGTGAGGAGATGGAAGAGGATGTCGGCGAAGAGGTGCAACGGCCAGCGCCGGAGGTCACCAACGAGTTTGACGTCGCCGTGTCGACCACCGACGAACTCACACGCCTTCACAAGAGTCTTCGAGACCATTACTCGATCAGATTTCCAGAACTAGAGACTCTTGTTACGAATCCTATTGACTACGCAAAAACCGTTGCCATCTTGAAAAATGGCCCTCTTAACGATATCAAGGCCCTCTCCTCCTCGGCCGATAACATGGTTGGCGCGCCACTCAAGTCCATCCTGGACGGTCCGTCGCTCATGGTTGTCGCGGTGGAGGGAACGACGACGCGTGGACGCGAAATGACCGAGGCCGAGCTCAAAGCCGTGCTGGATACTTGTGAGAGAATTCTCAAGCTAGATCGCGAGCGGACGGCGCTTACGCAGAGCATTCAGTCGCGCATGAGCCAGATTGCGCCTAATCTTGCCGCTTTGATAGGACCGGAGACTGCGGCCCAGTTTCTCAACCAGACTGGTGGATTGAAGGAGCTAGCCAAGATCCCAGCGTGCAATCTGGCCGCGCAGGGCTCCAAGAGATCAGAAGGGCTAGGATTTGCTACGAATATCGGTATCAGATCGCAAGGCTTTCTCTACCACTCACCCATCATTCAAGATATTCCGAATGATCTAAAGAAACAAGCAATCCGAATTGTCGCGGCTAAGATGGTTCTAGCGACTCGGGCGGATGTGGCCAAGTACAGTCCCGATGGTTCTTTGGGCGAGGAATTGAAACAACAGTGCTATCAACGCTTGGAAAAGTTGACCGAGCCTCCTCCGAACGCTGGTGTGAAGGCGCTTCCGGCGCCTGACGACAAGCCCTCGAGGAAGCGAGGTGGACGGAGAGCGAGAAAGGCCAAGGAAGCAATCGCTATGACTGAGCTACGAAAAGCACAGAACCGGGTCGCATTCGGCAAGGAGGAAGCAGAAGTTGGCTATGGCACCGGCGAAGGCACCGTGGGTCTGGGTATGCTGGGACAGCAGAACGACGGACGGGTCCGGGCGACTCAAATCGACCAGAGAACCAGGGCCAAGCTCAGCAAGTCGAACAAGGGCTGGGGAGCGGCCACCCCGGTCGGCGGGACCGCCTCTTCTCTGCGTGGGTTTGGTTCGGGCGCAGGCGCAGGCGGCACTGCCAGTGTCCTCCAGGCCAAGGGTCTGCGAACCTCTGGAGTGGGTCCTTCATTGGCAGGCATCGCCGGTACGGCAAGTACGATTGCCTTTACACCTGTGCAAGGTCTCGAGCTAGTTGATCCCAAGGCGCAAGCCGAGCTCCAGCGGAAGCGCAAGGCGGAGGAGGACCGATGGTTCAAATCAGGCACATTCACGCAGGTGGGCGGTCAGAGCAGTAGCACGAACAGCGGTGCAAATGGCGGTTTCAAAGTGCCTCCACTGCCCGCAAGGAAGAAGGTCGACACCGGCGAGGGCAAGATGGCGCCACCTCCGCCACCCGTGAAGCCATAGCTTTGTCCATATTTCTATTCTATTTGACTGTTGAGCATTGACGGCGTTGGGGTTCTTTGATCATGATACCAATAGTGATAGATCTTAAAAGAAATGAAATATATCCACATCATTATTCGTGCCGAGTCATTCCCTACATTGCCGTAGAGCCGGGTGGCCGGAATATGGATATCGGCGAGCCAAGGTTCGGCGTTGTACTACAACTCCGAATGATGGCCGATGGCGTGCGTCGTGCAGAATTTGGCGCAACGCACTGCGCAATCGGTGACCTATTTGACATTATCTACGGAGTAGTATTCGCATTCACATTTGTGTGCTATTCGCATTGCTGAGCATCAAGAAGTGCTGTCTTCGCATATTGTAGACAGTGGATAGTATCGCACATATCCCACTGTGGACACACTGACATCTCCACAAGCAAAACGTCCAGATCAGAACCCATAGAATCAACCAAGGTACTGGTCATGCACCAATTTCAGGATGATTCCATCCATGAAGCATGTGGGCCGGGGCGTTTCACAAAGAAAAGAACCATCAAGTTGGGATATTGCGTGCTCGGCTCAGCACGGCCTTATAAATTGTCTTTTCCTACATCGATGCCTGTAGTCAATTTGTTTCCTACTGAGTAGTCCTTCGCTATCATTGCAGTCAATTGACCCGTAGTCATTCTCTGAGATTATAGTCAGGTCAAGGAAGAGGAAGAGGAGAGGACAGTGTGGTAGACCATCGCACCATGGCCCCCGGGATACAAGACTCGCTGAGCGAGCCCCTAGCAGCAGTTCTCACCGAGGAAGAAGTGTCTTCAACCAAACGAAGCAGAAGCAGACGGCCACTCTCACTCATCCATCACAGCCTAGTCACGTCCGACATGGACGCGCTGAAATTCCACGCCGCCGCATCCCTCCAGCTATGCTTCAGTCCCTATCAAGATGTCACCATCAGCACAGCAGACTCAAATCAAGACCCAGAATCAAAAGCTCAACTCCTGATAACATCACCCTACAACTCACCCCTCCACCTCCTCAACCTCCAGACCCTCGATCCACACTCTCGTCTCCTCGCCGAGGCCCTCACAATCCTCCGGCCCGTGCGCGCCGACTACGCCACAGCGCCTTACGCAGACTCCTTCAACTGGCCCTCTGTCTTTGCGTTCCTGCGCGACCTGAGCACCCGCGAGGGACACGCCTGGTCCCGAACGAAATTCTACGTCGTTGTCTTCCGGTCGACGTTGTTAGCGAGTGCAGATGGAGACAGACTGCATGAGCTGGATGCGCGGTCGCATCAGGAGGCTGTGGCCAGTGGGGGGTTACTCAAGTATTGGTTTGGGACGAAGAACGCGCGGAGGGAGAATCTGGCGACTTGTAAGTTCAGCTTCCTTCTATTTTCTGTTTTTGTGGGGGAGGTGATATTGATGATGATGGTGTAGGTGTCTGGCGGAGTCGGGAGGATGCGCATCGGGGAGGGACGGGGCCGTGGCATCGGAAGGCGAGAGGGGCGGCTAGAGAGATGTATGAGAAGATTGTGTTTACGACGACGGAGCTGGTGGTTGGGGATGAGGTGGGTGAGTGGTCGTTTGGAGAGTGGACTGGTTGATTGTAGAGATACCCTTTGAAGCATCTAGTAGTACTTTGACTCAAGCGACTTTCATTGAGAGATTGCTTATTTATATGCATGCAGTCTATATCGCATGGAGAATGATTCCCCGCGTGTGGAGAGAGACCAATGGACCCGTTATGCCCTAAACGAGTAGTATTCCACGTCCATGAGGTGAACGATCATCTCAACTGTCCACTTAGACTACTGACCGAACTCATTCTAAGCGATGCATTATCGAACTAGAATAGATCTCTTATCATAAATAGATGCGGGGAGGCAGTTGATGAAGATATATAGTTCGAGCTCGCCGATGCATCAGTCCGCAACTACATCCCACTTTCGCTCAATCAGACATACTACGCTGTGATCGCATCAAAATGGTCGGACTTGCACTAGAACACAACATCCGAGTCAACGATGGCCCCTTGACCTCCGAAAACGCCGCTCTTCTCCGTCCCTCAGACCCCTCCCTCCCCCTGGACGAACTCCGCGCCCGCTACGAACAGGACGGCTACCTCTTCCTCAAACACCTTCTCCCCCGCGAAGACGTCCTCAAAGCCCGCAGACAGTACTTCTCCCTCTTGGCCCCAACCGGCGTCCTCCAAGAAGGCACCGACCCCGTCCAAGGCATCTTCAACCCCACCAAATCCCCCGATCAGTACCCCGGCATCGGCGCCGGCGCAGTAGGCAACAACGGCCGGCCGGGGGGGGAGCAGGCCGCGCAGTCTGTAGACCTGGCCATCGAGGCGCACTACCAGGATTGGTATGCGGAGAAGTTCTGCAACCATCCCGATTTAGTCCGGTTTGTGGCCGCGTTCACGGGTTGGGGCGAGAATACGTTGAATTTCCGCCGGACGCTGCTGAGGAATAATACGCCTGGCACAAAACCTATCGGGGTGCACTATGATCAAATCTTCTTGCGGTATGGGGAGCCGATGAGTGTCACGGCTTGGGTGCCTATGGGGGATGTCAAAATCAATGGTGGGGGCTTGATCTATCTCGAGGATGGTATGTTATCACCTTGTGCCTTGAGAATGTCGTGAAAGTTAACTGACGGACCAGGCGACCCTGTTGGACTCAAATCGAGGAAGAGTTCACCACCAAAGCGAAGCAGGCCGGTTTGACAGATGAAGAGGCCAGATCGGCTTTCAACTCGAATATGATGGCGACTGGCCTTTTGTCCGAGTCGCCGGTCGAGTTTGCCAGGCAGCATGGCCGTCGCTGGCTGGTATCTGCCTATGAGGCGGGTGATGTTGTCTTGCACAAACCTCATACGGTACGTCCTCGCCCTTCACCTCTAAGAGATGCTTTGCTGACGAGGCAGATCCATGCATCGACTATCAACAATGACCCGGATAATGTCATCCGTCTGGCGACTGACCTGCGATTCTGCGACTCTTCCAAGCCATATGATAAGGTAAGTTTGCTTTGGACAGCCAGACAAATAAGTGCTAATATACCTCAGAGATGGATGAACTTTTATAGGTTTGGAGATGGTGTGTGATTAACCAGAGTGGTTTGTTATCTATCACCGCATGGTGGGCAGCAACAATCTACCCTCAAAACGTGCAATGACATATCCTGTAACAGTTAGGCCAGTTTAGTTCATCTAAGATGCAGTGACCTTACAGCTCTCCATCGCAATATCCACCCGTCCACCCATGACCCTGAAGAACACACTGTACGACTTAGCCAACCCATTTTTAAGCCAATGGCAATAGGTAATAGGCAATAGCAATATAGTACCGCATTATGACAAGCCAGATTGGCAATCTCGTCGCCGCCTTCGATCTCGCAGGATGTCTCGACGTTCAGCTGGTCGACTTGAATGGGTGTGCTGTGTACCAGTTGGCAGAGAAGGCCATAGAAAATAATATTTAGGGTTTTCATTCTGATGTGTCTGCTGGACAGCCTGAGAAAGGGAATTTGCTGGAGGAATTGAGATGGTTTGAAATCAAGGGTCGATCAAGGGATATATATAATCTTGTCGTCATGGATGTGAAGCAAGGGCGGGCGTTTGGCCCACGCAACAGGTTTACTCGCGCACTAGAACATCCATATCAGCTGAAGATATGCATCTTACATGCCTTGCAATAAGAATGAGATGGTCCAACGTCGCATTGATGCATATTCCTCGCCAGAGCTCCATCGTTCAAGGCACCTTATGTCTCTCTAGATCTCCATATTCTCTCCGCTACGACGTTCATGTTCGGGCTGGATTGGTTCGCTTCTGTCCCATATATCTCAACCAAGGACTCAATTTGTATATATTCTGACACAACGATTCTGTATTCCCAGAACAGATTTACCATGAGTCGAATGATCCCTGAGGTCTGCGGCCTTGCGCAACCGAACCGCGAAGATGAGTTGGTGACGAGGATGGAACTTGGAAGTTCATGTTAGGGCACGGATCGGTGTGGATGTAGGCCGCATAGTGCGTGTTCCAAGGAACCGTGCCAGTAGCATAACTGCTATTTAGTATAGAGAGGTGACAACAATTCTATATAATATATGATAAATCAAGACTAATCAGAACATGACGCATATGACACCCATCACTAGCAACGGCCAACATCTATAGATAACATATGGCTGCCCCTACGACAAAGAGACACCCCCCACAAGCGGAAGCATATATACAACGGAGATCCAAAGATTCCACACCCGAAAAGTCATCCGATCACTGGCTGTATCCCGCCACATGAGCATCCTAATAGCTACAGCAAAGGCCAGCACGACGCTCAGGCCAGTGGCTAGGGGACCAGATCCCGCCAGAAACGGACATATGACCCCCCAAACAGGCATTGGCAGTGCAATGCTCCATCGCGCCGCAGCATCCCCGATCACGAGGGGGAGCGTCCGACGGCCCCTCTTCGCGTCACCCTCCTGATCGCACATATCTTGCACGTGCATGGTCGTCAGAATAATCGCCGTGATGACCATGATCCAGAGTCTGAGCGAGTACTGTCTGGCTTCAGGGGACTCTGTAAATATAGCAGATCCAGAACCAAGCGCTACCTCTACAGCCCCTGAGTTGAAACAGAAGTATCCCAACGCGTTGATGATATTTCGGATCACAGGGTTGTGGTCACCCGCCCCGAAGCTGTTGTAGCAGGTGCCTAGGATGATGAGACCGAGACATTGTCGGTGTCCGCCGCTGTAAAAAAAGCTGTAAACCACTGCAAGGGCGTAGAAGCCGAACATCAGGCGTTTTGCCTGGGATCCAGAGAGACGCTTGCTCGGAAGAGGACGCCAGGGTTTATTGAGGCTGTCTTCGGCAATGGACGAGGGACTCCGCTGGTTGTTCATCGTCAGGGGAAGAAGATTGATCCCGACCCAGCCAATGATCAGAGGCATTCGGTAAACCGTATTTAGGTATGCGGGAGACTGAGACTGTACATCGCGGAAGTCCAGAGTGGCGAGAGCGTTGGTAATGCCAAAGATAGTGCTTGGGAGGAGAATGGTCTGGACATCACTTGCAATGAAGAGCCAGATGGTATATCCGCTTGATGTAACTGTCGATGAGAATTGACAGACATGAAAGCTCGGCCAGCCGATTGACATGTCGCTCTGAATCTTTGCGATGCACTGATGTAAGTCAGTATGTATATTCGAGTAATCAGACTTGACTAACCTTCATTTGTACTATGCTCTCGGGATGATAAACTTCGTCCCAGTGTGGTGTTTATAACTCGCACACGCAGTGGCAGTTCTTCAGCGCACGGTATCAGCTGAAGCCGTTGGCAAGACAATAAGTGTGCTATACAATAATAGACATAACAGACATCGGGTTCTAGCATGCCTGAGCATCGATTGGTCTTCGACTGTCTAAGTCCCTAACAATTCCTGACCTTGACTCAGATTCAGGGGCTAATTCAAATGCGCCTTGCCAGGGAGGCCTGCAGCGGCCTGGAGATTTGGATATGACTAGTAGGCGCCCCTGCTCCAACAGATACTGTTTTGGATCTAATAGCTGATAAAAGGCGGTGCTCTCGAGCAATGCTGAGGGCTCAGCCCGTCATTCAGGCGACCTGGGGATGAGGACCGACTCATCTTGGCCCTGAGCAAGAATGTTAATATGGCATTGGGAGATACTCGGGCACACGGAAGTCCACAGCAAGCTCGATATACTGACAAATGCATTGTCTTCTCAAGGATTGACTTGGACCCATTCCAGGTTCAACCTGGAACACAGTCATCGATCACGCCCTAAGGTGTGTCTCAGTTCCTGTCATTGCCCCTGCCATTCTTTTCTCTGATTGAGCTCAGCCGTGGGTGGTTACACATGCACCATGGGAGATGTATTTCACTGCATTCTTTCGGGCTGTGTTCGCTGCCGTAATGGGGGTTATTTTTTCATGCTGAAACAGCTGACAGTCATCTATTGAGGCCGTACATAAGCTTGAAGAATGAGGGGCATCATCTGCGATTGCCAGTGTAGAAGCTAGAGAATGGCGCAGCTGTCTCGAACGGGAATGTTTAAGCATCAAGAAGAATGGCGCGATCTCGGTGCTAGGAACGGACGCCTGGGGACGACTGTCGATTTACTGGGATGATACGGTGACAGTACCGAGTGAGTCAGACTGCATGGATGTCCGATCGAAGAATTGTAGCTTACTTGATGCTTGACAGGCGTAGGTTGCTCGGCAGGTAAGAAATGCCGTGCTTGTGCGTACCTGAGCGCCTTAGGCAGCTACCTGGTCTAGTCCTTCACTTATATATCTCGCATGCTCATATTCGGGGGGAATCTCGACAGCACCTGGTCTCTCCTTGTTTCCATCCTTGACTGTCTACATTATCGAGCACAGGCATCATCAGTTCATTTCATCCCTTCAACAATCCAACCCTGTTAAATCAAGACGTGATAGGCATGTCTTCCTCTCCAGAATACGTCTTTACCCGGGACTACTTGGACAACAACCGGTATGATTATTCCAACTTTTACTATTCTGCTCGCTTACATTTGCAGGATCAATCTGCAGCATTATCTGGTCGTCCAACTTTTCGGATACCGCATTCACCCCTCGATTCCCGTCAAGGATGTGAACAACCTACGGATCGCAGACGTTGGAACTGGTACTGGGTATGTCAAGCTCGACTTGTTCGATGGCAGCTTCTCACACTCACAGAATCTGGCTCACCGATTTGGCCGACGAATTCCCTTCAACTGTCCAACTGGATGGACTTGACATCTCCTTCGATGCGGCTCCTCCACGCGACTGGCTCCCGCCCAATATGAGCCTTCACCATTGGGATATTAAGGCCGAAGTCCCTGAGCACCTGGTTGGTGTCTATGACGTGGTTAATGTTCGCCATTTTGTTTTTGTTCTCCAACAGTCTGACTTGAAGGGCGTCCTCGACAATCTATTCAAACTTCTCAGTATGTCAGCAGCTTCTACAATTTTCATATCTCTAACAGCTGGTCTACAGAGCCTGGAGGTTATCTTCAGTGGACTGATTTCGACATGTCCTCACTTCGTGTCGAGAAGATCAATCCGGACATCAAGGCGGACGCGAACGTCAAGTTAATGGAACTTTTCCAGGCCAACGATACCCGTCTTCGTTCCGCGTGGGGTGCGAGTCTGCCCGCGCTTTTTGCACAGAGCGGATTCAACAAAGTCGAATCAGATGTGAAGGACGCACCACCCCATTTGGCAGTTGCACTGCATGAGTGTGGGATGTTGGCCACGGAGGTCTTAGCCCGAAACAAAGCAGGTGGGAACGAGCAGATGGTGCAGCAACTTAGACAAACCTTGGCCGAGGCAGCAAAGGAGACTCGGGAGGGATCTGTTCTGGCTTTTACTAGACTCACTGTCGTTGGTCAGAAGCCGAGCCAGTAGACTGCCTTTCGCCTGGTAGATATCGAACCGTCGCACATCCTTAGGCACTGGAGGTAGACTCATACTTTCTCACATGATATCATGCCTAGATATCATACCTCTGCTTAGGAATGATGTACGTATGCTCATAAGACGATGATGCGCCGTCAGTTCAACTCGCCATCGCCATCGCTATCGCTCAATGCTTACACTCCTTTTGTGATACAATAATTCCAAATCTGACCAAGCCCCGCAGGGTGAGCGATGCTGACCGATTCAGCCTCAACTTCAAGAATGTAACCCTGTATCACGCAATGAAGTATGTACCAGAAATACCGACATGGGTATAATGTGTACTCCTATTCTTACACCTTGCCCCTCACCGCATATGTCATCTCGTCCGCCATTGTGAAGGTTGGTCGCACAAAGCCAGCGCAAAAATGGCCTTCTGCACTACCATAGGGGGTATTCATAACCTCGATGCCTTCCTAGCAAAAGCAATGAGCGCTTAGGTGACATGGCCCCTCCAACTAAGTCTTTCCTTATTGCGCCCAAAATCAATAAGACGACCAGATGGCGGACCAAGACGGAACCCAACACTCGGTGGCTTACCTTGCAGAGGATCGACGACCTGCCCTTCTGAGCGTAGCGATCACCTTTCTTGTACTGAGTACATCTGCTGTCATCTTACGCTTCGTGTCTCGTCGTATTGGGCGTGTTGGCTTCCAACATGATGATATCTACATTATCTTGGGCTGGATATTTTATGTGGCCTTGATATCCGTGGCAATCGGTACCTCCCCATCTTCTCCTTCTCCGTCAACAGAACATTCACTTGACGATGTAATGCAGGAGACATGCACTATGGCGGCGTAGGCCTCCATCAAGCGCGTGTCATAGCTATCGACCCGGTCATGATGCAGACCTGGGCCAAGTTCCTCCTTGCCATCGCATTCGTCTACATCATTGGCGTGATTCTCCCCAAACTCGCCGTGCTGAGCCTGTACATCTCCATCTTCAATCGGCACCGGGCCTCCCGCATTACCTGCTATGTCACCGGCTTCCTGATGATCGGCAACTGCATCGGCTGTGCGGCGGCAGGCTTCGCGGTCTGCACGCCTCTCCGGAAACTATGGAACCCGAGTGTGGACGGGCACTGCGTCAATATCAATGCATGGTTCCGCTACTCGCGGATCGTGAATATCGTCTCGGATGTGATTATGCTCATCCTGCCTATCCCGCATGTGATCCGCTTGCAGTCAACCATGCGGTTGAAGGTCGGTTTGTTAATCACCTTTTTGCTGGGGAGTGTGTGAGTCGAGCCATTCTTTTTACTGTGCATTGTGGAACAGGGCTGACGAGAGTAGGGGCCTCATCGCCGGCCTGATTGCCCTCTTTACGTTCAGCACTACCAACGCCGTCACGGACAACACCTGGAACGCGGCATTATTGATCATTTGGACCCTCGTCGAGGTGGGGATGTATCTTATTGCTGCGTGCCTGATCTCGTATCAGCCGCTTGCTAAGTTTATTTGGAGAAATACTTGGCGTCGACGGCGAGGGCAGAAGAACAGTTCTCAGGATCAAGAACATAGCCATGTGTGGGTCCGGACGAATAGTATGCCTAGTCAGAGTCATAGTACGAGGGGAAAGACCGAAGAAGAGTACTTGGAGCTGGTGACAAGGGAGCGCTCTGACAGGGGTTCGTCTATCTCCGGGGGAATTATGATTGAGCGCCAGGTAACGATGGACTGAACATGGACGTATTAGGCTTATCCATCACAGTCCTGTTGATATCTTCTAGCATAGAACGAACAGAATGCAGCTATTCCAGACCAAGACAGAGTGAAACTGATTAAGGTGATGGACAATGACAGGGAAAGGAGCGGTCAGAGACTCAAGAGGACCCTGAGGATATCTGGCCTCAGGCAGCGACACTTGCGTCCCTTGATGCCTGAGGTACCCGTGCCCCGCCGCAAAAACCCTCCGAGTCCGAACGGCGTTTCCCCTCCGACAGTAGCCAGAGAACGTGCCTGAGAGGATTTCCCCTCCGCTTGTTTCTCCCTTTTATTTCTTCTCTTCCCCTCCTCCCTCGATCTCTTCCTCTCTCTTCTCATCCTCATCATTCCCTTCAGTAAGTCATCTCATCCCATCTTCTGTTCAATTGCAGTCAGTCAATTATCAAGACTTGTCCTAACTAATCTCGTCCAGCTTCTTTTTCTTAACTACCTAATCCTTCTTCATCATCACCATGGCTGCGCCCGCTCAGAAGTTCAAGGTCGCCGACATCGTACGTGGCCTCTCAGATCCTCCCTCTCACCATATACTGTATAAACATGTTAACCCCTTTTAGTCTCTGGCTGCCTTTGGCCGCCGCGAGATCGAGCTCGCCGAGATTGAGATGCCTGGTCTCATGGCTATCCGCCGCAGGTACGCCGAGGACCAGCCCCTGAAGGGTGCCCGCATTGCCGGTTGCCTTCACATGAGTATGTTATTTATGCCAGAAAGAGGGGTTAGAGACTAAAATCTGACTCGCCTTTTAGCTATCCAGACCGCTGTTCTCATCGAGACCCTCACCGCTCTTGGTGCTGAGGTCACCTGGACCAGCTGCAACATCTTCTCCACTCAGGACCACGCTGCCGCCGCCATTGCTGCCTCCGGCGTCCCTGTGTAAGTTCGACTACCATTCTGAAACCAGGCCAGCTCTAATATCATAATAGCTTCGCCTGGAAGGGTGAGACTGAGGAGGAGTACCAGTGGTGCTTGGAGCAGCAGCTCAACGCTTTCAAGGATGGCCAGAAGCTCAACCTCATCCTCGACGATGGTGGTGACCTGACCGCTCTCGTCCACAACAAGTACCCTGAGATGCTCAAGGGCTGCTACGGTGTCTCCGAGGAGACCACCACCGGTGTCCACCACCTCTACAGAATGCTCAAGGAGGGCAAGCTCCTTGTTCCCGCCATCAACGTCAACGACTCGGTCACCAAGTCCAAGTTCGACAACCTGTACGGTTGCCGTGAGTCCCTCATCGATGGTATCAAGCGTGCCACCGATGTCATGATTGCCGGCAAGGTCGCCGTTGTTGCCGGTTACGGTGATGTCGGCAAGGGCTGTGCCGACGCTCTCCGCAGCATGGGTGCCCGTGTCCTCGTCACCGAGATTGACCCCATCAACGCCCTCCAGGCCGCTGTTCAGGGCTACCAGGTCGTCACCATGGAGGAGGCTGCTCCCCAGGGTCAGATCTTCGTCACCACCACCGGTTGCCGTGACATTCTCGTTGGCAAGCACTTTGAGGTTATGCGCAACGACGCCATTGTTTGCAGTAAGTAACGCGTTTCCACTTTCCGTGGCTTTTATACTGATCAACACAGACATTGGTCACTTCGACATTGAGATTGACGTTGCCTGGCTCAAGGCCAACGCCAAGTCCGTCCAGAACATCAAGCCCCAGGTTGACCGCTACCTGATGCCCAGCGGCCGCCACATCATCCTCCTTGCTGAGGGTCGTCTGGTCAACCTTGGCTGTGCCACCGGCCACTCTTCCTTCGTCATGTCCTGCTCCTTCTCCAACCAGGTCCTTGCCCAGATTGCTCTGTTCAAGGCCGAGGACGAGGCGTTTGGCAAGAAGTACATCGAGTTCGGCACCACCGGCAAGAAGCCCGTTGGTGTCTACGTTCTTCCCAAGATCCTGGACGAGCAGGTTGCTCTGCTCCACCTGGATCACGTCAATGCCAAGCTGTCCAAGCTCACTCCCGTTCAGGCCGAGTACCTTGGTCTGGATATTGCCGGTCCTTTCAAGAGCGAGATGTAAGTGCGCCTGATCCTTTGTGTCTGGTCCAAGCTAATGGTTGCAGCTACCGCTACTAAGCATCTTCCTTTCTCGATGGCGTCGACGCTTGATATATCTTAACACATAGACCTTTTCAACATGATCACGATGTTACGAACAACATAAAGGGTTCTCTCAACTTAGAGCTCAAAAGTATTTGTCTTCAACGGCAATAAAAGGGGCATATATGGGGGTTTTTCTTTTCCTATTGGCTGTATGGGCTGGGTCTACTTGGGAGTATGTTTGCATTCAACAATGCCTCCGATATTTCTCGATATTTCTTCCTTAATATTCAACCCGACTAGGTCGGGTCAAATGATACCAACGATGCATTAACATGCATTGATCATTTCGTCATTATATCGTAGGGTCGTATCGTCACTCCGTGTGATACATGCGGAGTTTATTACTTGCTCTTCAACAAATCTGCTAGGGAATCGGCTACGGAGAGGGCAAACTCTGGATCATTGATCTCTCGCGTGTCTCGCAGGACTGCAATTCCTGTCCCATCGAGCTCGTTCTCGAGAGTGGAGAAAAGTGCCTCATCCGCTTCCCGGTCGTGGAAGGGCTGGCCCGGTGAATCGAGCATGCTGATACCCGCCGCAGGCAAGATCACCCGCACGCGCTCCGGGTGAGCCACATGGGCCTTGAGCTTCTCCGCCATGAAACGGGCAATCCGCTCACATTCCTCGGGCGTCGTCCGCATGAGCGTCACAGTCGGATTATGCTCATACAGCAGCCGATGGCCGTCCTGGAACCGGGCTGGCACCGTCTCCCTTGGCCCAAAATTCACCATGTCACAGGCACCCACGCTGATGATCTGCGGGAGGCCTGCTTCGGCCGCCGCGATGAGACGCCGCGGCCCCGCAGAGAGCACGCCGCCGACGATCTCGTCAGGGATCTCGGTCGTGGTGAGATCGACCACGGCGTCGAGCTGGCCCTCGCGGATGAGCCGCTCCATTGCTTTCCCGCCGGCTCCGGTCGCGTGGAACACGTACACCTCGCAGTCGAGGGTCTGCTGTAGCCGTTCCCGGATGGTATTCACTGCTGGTGTCGTCACCCCGAACATGGTGATTGCTATCTGTGTTTTGCTACCTTTTCGGTCTGCGTGCATGCTCTGTGCCTGCGACGCATACGACACAGCCATCCCGGTCACGGCGGCGGCGGCGTTCGTTAGAATCCGAGTCAGGATGCGGTTCGTGCCTGCGACGTCGACCACGCTGTACATGAGGGTTAGGTCGGTTTCCTCGACGTAAGGCGATACATCGCCGCTGGCCATGGTCGAGACCATGAGTTTGGGGAAGCCGACGGGCAGAGCGGCGCGCATGGCGGCGGTTGCGAGGGCGGTACCGCAGGAGCCGCCGATGCCTAGCACGGCGTGGATGGAGCCGGTGCGGTGGAGGGTGGTGAGGGCTGTGATGGCGTGGGTGGTCATCCGGTGAATGTATTCTGGGCGGGGGAGATCCGATATTTTTGTGTCATTGTCAGTGTCAGTGCTGGTTAGGTCGGGGTGTTTGATGGCGATGGAGCTGTGGGAGCATGGGGTGCGGCCGACGTCCATGAGCAGGACGGTGCAGGTGTTTTGAGTGAGGAGTTGAGACTCCGTGAAGCATAGTTCGTCCCATTTGGTGTCGCAGGTTCCGATGAGGACGATGGTGGGTCTGACCATCGTGTATACTTACTCGGTGGTTTGCGCTCCACCAGGTGTCATTGAACAGTTGAACAATTAGTCCAGCTGAGCATATTTCTATCTTTCAGATCGACCGGAGCAAGGTGGATTTGACTCCTCCTGCAGCTGCTCCAAGTAAGCGTCAATGACGCAGTGCAGGCGGGGTTGTCACACCATGCATCCGCATTTAATCTGCCAGGCCCTTCTGTCTCTCTTGTATCCCTGCACACAAAGAACGGAAACACTTTAGGCAAAATCCCATTAAAATGCCCCGTCCAACAACCCGTCAAGAAGTGCTGGGTCGACTCCGTCAGACCATCGCCGAGGGCTCAATCATCGTCGGCGCCGGAGCTGGTTCGTACCACTGCACTCACTCACCTTACAACCAATCTAACTGATATCCTCCGTACGATACGCAGGAATCGGTCTCTCCGCCAAATTCATCGAAAAAGGCGGCGCGGATCTGATCCTCGTCTACAATTCGGGCCGGTTCCGAATGGCCGGACGAGGGTCGCTGGCAGGCATGATGCCATACTCGGATGCCAACCAGGTCGTCGTCGAAATGGTTCGTCTCCTACACTCTACAACTATGATTGCATAACTAAAAATGCCAGGCAAACGAAGTCCTCCCCGTAGTGGAACACACGCCCGTCCTCGCTGGTGTCTGCGGGACAGACCCCTTCCGCGACATGCGCTCGTTCCTGGCGCAGCTGCGCGGGCTGGGCTTCATCGGCGTGCAGAATTTCCCAACGGTCGGGCTGATCGACGGAAAATTCAGGCAGAATCTCGAGGAGACGGGGATGGGCTACGACAGGGAGGTGGAGATGATCCGGCTCGCGCACGAGATGGACCTCGTCACGACGCCGTATGTCTTTACCGTCGATGAGGGGGAGCGCATGGCGCGCGCGGGCGCGGACGTCATCGTCGTGCATGTCGGGCTAACCACGTCTGGGACAATCGGGGCGCAGACCGCGCTGTCGCTGGATGAGTGTGTTGGGGTGATCCAGGAGATTCGCGATGCGGTCGTCAGGGTTAATCCTGAGGTGATTGTGCTCTGTCATGGTGGGCCGCTGGCGGGTCCCGAGGACGCGGAGTATGTGCTCAGTCGGACGCGGGGGGTGCATGGTTTCTTTGGGGCGAGTAGTATGGAGAGGTTACCGGTTGAGCTGGCGATTCAGGAGAATGCGCAGGCATTTAAGCGGTTGAAGGTCCGTCAGTAATCTAGTCAAAGGGTCGAGATATTGATCAATTGATATGATGAACCACCGGAGACCCAAACGGGAAATTCTCCGTGGTACAGACAGTGGGGAAGTAGATCCACAGACAGACTCGGTTATTATCATTCTATCGCAGTCTACCGGTGCAATGTTACTCACTGGACTAAATGTCTTGTGCGATGAGCTGGATTTTATGCTGTGGCCGCGTGATTATCTGTAGCTGTATTTAACGTGGGGTGACCCCGCTACCTATGATTTGGACAGTTGCAACTGGAGACCTCTATAACTAGCATTAATTCATTACCTTGAGAGCATATCCTTTAAGCATACACTCAGTAACACAATGTCGCGACCTTTGGAGGGAAAATTTGGTATTGTCACCGGGGGCTCACGGGGTACGTCTACAGTCTACACCATCTCCGTCACAGCTACAGCTAACGAAACAGGCATCGGCGAGGCAATCGCCCGAAACCTCGCCGCAAAAGGCTGCTCGCTCCTTTTGAACTTCACCTCTGAATCGTCGCGCGCTCGCACAGAGGAGCTCTGCGCCTCGCTGGCCTCGACGCACTCGATCCGCTGCGTCGCCGTGCAGGCCGACCTCCTCCACGCCGAAGAAGCCGTCCCCCAGATTCTAGCAGCCGCCAAACAACACTTCACCTCGCCCGAGGGCAAGTTCCAGATCGACGTGCTCATCAACAACGCCGGCGTCAGCGCGGACCGCGTCCTCAACGACCCCGTCAAGGGCCCCATCGACCGCGAGTACTTCAACTGGCACTACAGCATCAACGTGCTCGCCCCACTGCTGCTCACGCAGGCCTGCGCGCCCTTCCTCCCCACCGACCGCTCCGGCCGCATCGTCAACATCTCCTCCGTCTCCTCGAGTATCGGGTTCGCGGGCCAGAGTGTCTACGGCGGGACCAAGGCCGCGATCGAGGCTATGACGCGCACCTGGGCGCGTGAACTCGCCGACCGTGCGACGGTCAATGCTGTCAACCCCGGCCCTGTCATCGGGGACATGTATTTTGCGACGGGGGAGGAGTTCTGGAAGCAGATGCAGGGATTCCAAGATGCGACGCCCCTGAGTAAGATGGTTGAGGATGATCCGCAGATGAAGGAGTTGAGCGAGGAGCAGATCCGCTTGATCAAGGAGAAGATGGGTGGGCGGCGGCCGGCGTTTACCAGTGAGATTGCGGGGGTGGTGGGGATGCTGTGTACGGCCGATGGTCTGTGGTGTACGGGGAGTGTGGTGTGTGCCAATGGTGGTATGAAAATGGGATTTTAGTAGACGGCGCTCCGTAGAGATCATCAATTGTGTTTGTACATATGCATCGAATTGTCTGTTTAGTAAGGGAGTCGTGGTGGTACATTGTCCCCTGTAACGGTAACCGAAATACCTGATGTCATCGTCGTCAACATTCCCCATTCCTCAACTCCGCAGCTTCAACTCCCATTCCACCTCACTTCTCCTGCCATCCATATCCGTGGCTGGATATTCGTGGTTAAATCAATTGGTACAAAGAAAATGACCTCCCTCCGACTGAATCTCTCTACCCTTCGCTTAACCCCCCGACTCGCCAAACCTCTACCCTCCCAGTCCCGCGTCCTCCGCGCCTCCGTCACATCATCCATCCACCGTCGACCTCTATCCACCCATCCCTTGAGGCTACCAACCCTCGCAACCTTCCCTACCTTCAAGAAATCCCCCCCATCAACAAGACAGTTCTCTACCGGAAAATCCCAAGCAGACCTCATCGTCGAAGAACTCCAAGAACTGTACTCCTTCCTTCCTTCCCTTCCCCTTTCTGTACAAGAGAGATAAATCTAACGAAATAGCTACGAAACCGCCAAAGACGAATTCGAAATCGCCACAGACAGCACCGCCAGCTCGACTATCTACGCCGCCTCGGACCGCGAGTCCGCCCGCGACGCCCTGAACCAGCTGCTCGCCGTGTACAGCCTCTACACGACCGACATCGCGACCACGGCCGAGTCGCATGCGCCGCAGCAGATGCAGCAGGGTGATGCTGACGAGCGGGGACAGCTGGTGGATACTAATTTCGATCCGTCGGATATCCCTGCGCGTGTGCGCGACGAGGTGCGGAGGAGGGTTGGGCAGCGGGTGAGGGAGCTGAGTAATGCGGTGGAAGTTTTGGAGGAGAGGGCTCATGCTGAATAACTGAACGAGTCATCTGATGAAGTGAGTCATTATAGCTGCTAGCTGCGCTGCTGCTAGTATACATTTCCATTCATATCGTGATTGGTATCATCTTTTGAGAGTATTCCCTCCCAACGCCGGGCAATTGCATACAGTTGCATAAACTTTTATCCCCAGACTCCGTATACCGCCTTGACTAACTCCAATGTGATGAAAAAAAGGTATTGATCAAACAGTGCCAAGGGGAAATGCGAATTGGTCGGACAACGGTGACGGTGAGGGGAAGGTCGTGCTGTCTGCTTTGTGCGTCGTGCGCATATGCCGTTTCAATTGGTCTTGAGTCGGAGTCAGTATGGCCAACTGGCAGGGTTCAGGTAACGTACCAGGTCGAGTAAAACTCTTGCTGCATCCAGGAAAATTGCATTTGTGTTTTCGTTCTCCGTGAGCTGTACTCGTTAGTCATGTCCTACTGCTAATAAGCGAGGAACATACTGAGTCGATGGCTCGACATGTTGGACGACTGTAGATGTCAATGTTAGTACATGCTTGCATGCCATCCCCAAAGGAAGCGACTTACATCGCCCGTCTGAAAGTTGCACCCTGGAAATGTGCACTTGAACGGCTTCTCGCCCGTATGCGTCCGTGAATGCGTTTCTATCGAGTCAGCATCCTACCAATGACACACTACCAAGTAACTTACTTAGCTCACTGCTGTCGGTGAATGACTTGCCACATTCGGTACACTTGTACGGCTTCTCGCCTCGATGGCTTCGTTCGTGTCGCTCCAGCGTCGCTTGCCGAGCAAACAGCTTGCCACAAACCGAACATTTGTAGTTTTTATCTGGAGGAATACAGTTAGATTCGGTTCAGAACCCACAAGTTTATGAACTTACAGTTACTGTGCGTCAGAAAATGACCCTGGAGTTTCGACTTCTGGGAGAAAGGCTCGTCCGGGCGATGACATCCTTCCCAAAAGCAATAGTAGCCGGTACCCTTTGCCCCTTCCACGGTCCCCATATGGTTTGCAACCAGATGCTCCTGGAGCGCACAGGCATCGGAAAATGTCGCTCCGCAGGATCTCTTGACACCATGGCTCGTGGTGGTCCATTTGCAAACATGCACTTCCCCGTCAACGGAAGAGAATCCCGGACTGGTCAATGCCGATGAGGCACCACCCTCCAAAGGTGGGGGCGTCTCACCCGGACTGGGCATCAGTTGTGAACTCACGCTCGATCGGGACTGGCGGGAATACGCGGAATAGGGTCCGTATGGGTGAACATGCGCGTGGGGGTGGATTCGACACCGATGATGCGACCGGCATGGTCCCTTGAGCGGCACATTCCCGTTGATATTGGCTGACGCTTTGGGCGAATCGTTGGGAGTGGGTGGCAGGTGAAAGCACGTGAAGGAATCGGCCGACCGGTTGTCCAGTTTGCTTAGATGAATGTGGCAGTTCTGGTCCTCGTGGGTGTGGGATTCAGAACAGGCAGACACGCTGGGGCACATTCCAAGCATCTGGAACACATCCGCCGGATTGACATTATTCGGCAGGGGAAATGGCACGTTCCCAAGGTGATCGTGTGAATCTCGGGGTAGAGTATGACAGTGGAAGTGAGGATACGAAGGATGACAGTGATGGAACGTTGTTGGGAACGAAAACAGGGCGTCCGCGGACTGTGATGTGTTGACAAGGCCCGATGTGGCATTTTCTGTAGGTTTCGATGGTGGTGGCATTTGATTCTGATCGATGGTCGATGACGGAAGTAGGTCGCAGGCTTCCAGCGACAGCGGCTGCCCCAGTCCCAATAGTGACTCTAGATTGTTATGATCGGCAGTCTGGCCGTTGTGGTCGGTGAAGCTAAAGCAGTGTTCATCGAAGCAGACAGCGTCCGTGCTTCCGCAATTCTTGTCGTCACAGTGTGATACAGAACAAGCAGTTGCCTCATCACATTCTCCGAAGCCGTCACAGACAGAAGGACAGTTAACGGAACAGTCATCAACATCGCAACACGCTTCGTCAATTGTGGCACAATGCGTCAGCGAGGTGTGATGATGATCCTCGTCCAAACAACTCCATTCTGGCGGCTGAGCGGAGGTCTCCGCGCCGTCCTGGGAGTCCTTACCATCTAGGTGAAAGGCCTCCCAGTGACATTCGAGGCAGAACTCATCTTTCTTAGTGTGGGAAGACATGGGGAGGGGAGATCCGGTGGCAATGGGATCTTCTCAAACCTAAAGAATGAAGAATAGGGAACACGGTGATGAGGAAAAGAAAGAGGGGGGGGAGATTATCAAGAGTAGGGATGATAGCACTACTACTGAGGACGTTAGCACATCATCTCACAGGGCAGGGCAGGGCAGAGGCAACAGGTACAAGGCCGCGAGCACCTACCACAATGCGACCACTCACTGCTGCAAATGTAATAAACGGGTGAATTGAGTTAAGCCGAGGGAATTGTACGAATGAAGCAATCAAGGCCAGAGCATAGGATTGACCGCCTGCAGTGTGCAAATCCAAGAGGACCTTGGGAGGGAGCTTCCCACGTGTATATATTCGACGAAGGTAACATCCAGATCTGTGCGAGCAACTTGAGGGAAAGGGATCCTGGTAATACCCTGAGGAAACAGGGACTACCTAGACATGAGGATTAGCGCAGGACTCGCATTTGAGCCTAGGATAATACGTACCTCATTAAGATTCTTGCATATGGGGGCGTGGGGTGCTACCTGACCCCATCCAGACACAGAGACTGGATACAATCAAACACAAGCGAGAAGGAGAGTGAGGACCCTGCGAGCAAGCACCTAATCTTTACTGAGGACCTTGGGGGAAAAAGCGTCATGTCCGCTCCCCGCCGGCGAATCGTACCGCCTGAATTGTCAGGCCGCCCGCAGATTATTATCTTCCCGCCTGCTTATCGTTGCGGACTCGAAAATGACGAGCAAGACTATTAACCGGGAAAGTTGCGCTACTACTTGGAGAGGTAGGTAGTGTTCTCTTGAAACCCTTTAAATCATAATCACTTTCAGTCTACATTTACACTGCATCGAGGATAATATTGGTCTTTTCATGGTTAAAGTGGAAAAATCTTCCGCCGGTGTCTGATTCTGCCTGATTATACCGCTTTGTGTTAGGTAATCGATTTTGATAAGATATTGACCCCTCAGGTACACTTCATTGATGCCTTGTTGCCTGATATACTTGCCAGGAGCTTGAACTGTATAAACTTACAATGCTCTCTTTGTCTATGCTCACCACTAGCTAGTAAGGTCCTTACCTTGACTTCTCAGGACTTGTAAGATTTAGACTGTTCGGCTAGTTTCAATGAAGCTCTTTCCCCGTCCGATCCGTAGTTATCTGACGCCATTGCGGCTCGCCTTCATTGAGTTTGAGAAGACTATTGTATCATTAAATCTTGAACCCACAATATGAGAGAAATCCTCCATTTTGTGGACCTACTTCGACTATCTGGCTACTCATCTTTGGTGGCCCTGTTCTCTTCAGCAATGGCATGGTCCATGGCTGACTGACAGCCACGTGCTGACCGCCCCTGATCTCCTCCGGATCGTCATTCCGCCATGATCTCCACCAGTCTCCAAGTCTCCAACATAACAGACACTCCGCCCGCACTTACACCACCAAGGGCGTCACTCGAATCAAGGATATCGGGTCTTCTTCTGTACATCGTAACGAATTGCATCACTTCACATCACTTCGCAACCCCAAAGGGAACCATCCATCGCTCCTCTAACCCGGTCACTCACATTCTCCCTCCGAGCCACACCCACTCCACCCCTCTAGTTCATATCCATACCATACCGTATCCCATCGCACCCGGCTCACCTCACCCCTCAGCACTACGAGTCTACAACACGATAACCTCAACCCAAACAAATGGGCAACCTCTGCTCCACCTCCAAAAACGAAGCCGAGCCCTTCTCCCGCCCCGGCCGCGTCCTCGGCTCACCCGCCAATCCCCCGCCCAACGCCGCCCCGCGCGCCCCGCTCCCCGCGAAATCAAAGGCGCCGTTCAAGTCACCGGGGAGGACACTAGGGGAGGCTGCACCGGAGGTTCCGGATGCGGAGAGGGCTGATGCGCGGACCAATGCTGCGATTGCGGCGCAGGTGAGTGACAGCCCTTGATGGAGATAGTGTCATACAAGGTGGTTGGCTAACTGGAGGATGCCAGAAACGAGCCGAGTCAGCGGCGACTGCGCAAAAAGGGAAATTAGGGTCGAAACTGGCGGCGCAAAAGGCTCAGACGCAGGCGAAGACCTTGAGCGAAGTGAGTAGGGAGCAGACTGCTGCTAGGCATATGGATGAGTCGAGTGAGGCGAGGAGGTGGAATTAGTCCGAAAGTTCTCGACCTACATGGTCTACGTTGAACTTGCTGGTGTTTCTTGGAGTATATTGGCGTAAATATCACTGTATAGATCTTGATGTTTCTTTACTCATGCTTATACTGCTTACGCATTGACAATGTATGTCTATAAACATCAAACCATAACGAATATGATACAACCCAGCTAATGGTATAAGTCTTAGACAACGTTGTATCGTCCTCCCACTGGTGCTCTTGCGTCGCTATCGGCAGCGGCCAGGGTGCCCTCTTTGAGCAACCGCATCAACTCCCGCATGGCATTCGTCACGGAGAGTTCCGTTTCACCTTCAACAAGAATATAAAGCTTCGGGTTCTCGCCAGGTCCGGGTTCCTTGCCGGCAGGATAGAAACTTCCTTTGGTGGTGATAGAGGTGCCAGTAGCCTCCAGAATCTTGGCCACATTCGTACGGTTTGTAACGGCCCAACGAGCTTTTTCTGTAGTGCAAAAACATATTAGCTCCTGCTCTATAACTGACCATAACAGGGGATAACTTACGAGGAAAATCGTTAATCTCCAACGTTGCATGGAAAGCTCCCGCGTCAGGTCCGCGGTTATCGATCGGCACACCAGACCGCATGACTCCAGCACGGCTGAGACGGGCATGGATATCAGCGACCGCCGAGCCCACCTTGTCCAATGGGTTCTTCGACGCGCCCGACGGGTCTTTCTCGGTCCTGTGAACCGTAATCTTGCCATCAAGATCGATACCCTTGGGGACTCCAGGCAAGGGGGTTGTTGCGGCGGCGGCGGCAGACTGCACCGACGATACAACTTTGCTGAACCGCTCGTCCGCCTTTTCGGCCTTTTCTTCCTTGTCTTCTTCATCTTCACCCTCCTCGCCTGTCTTGTATGTCCGCCGCTCTCGCATCCGAGCTGCATCTCGCTCCTGATCGAGGCGCTCCAGACCCTTTCCTCCGAATCCAGAAGCGCTAGCTTTCTCCTTGCCCGCTTTGACCTTCTCCAAAAAGGAATCGACCATCTTTTGGACGGGCTCAGGAACCTGCTGTCCGCTCTGTTTCAAAGCCTTGGCGATATCCACCGAATACCGCTCTTGTTCTTCAGTCAGGAACGTGACTGCAGTTCCCGTATTGCCAGCACGACCAGTTCGTCCGGCCCGGTGAACGTAATCTTCAAGATGGTTAGGCGCATCGTAATTGACAACGAGCTTCAGCTGCTTCACGTCTAGACCTCGCGCGGCGACAGAGGTGGCAATCAAAACGGGGAAAATTCCGGCCTTGAAATCTTCAATCGTAGAATCTCGGTCAATTTGGTCTTTGCCTCCGTGAATGGACATGCAAGGATAACCCTTGCGCATCAGCTCTCGAAGGAGAGTATCCGCAGCTTCTTGACGATCAACGAAAATCAAAGCACGTGCATCTTCGTTGGCGTCATCTGAGTACAAGTTGCCCAAGATCTCCAATAGCCGTACAAACTTTGTGTCATCGTTGCGAACCTCCACAATCTGGGTGATCTCAGGCGCGACAACGCTTTTGCCACCGACAACGATCTCGATCGGCTTGGTCAACGACTTACGGGCCAAAGCCTCCATGTTGCGAGGGAAGGTGGCCGAGAACAGCACCGTCTGTCGATCGGGTCGGATATTGGCCATAATCTTCATGACTTGGGGCTCGAAGCCCATATCAAACATGCGATCCGCTTCGTCCAAGACAACGTAAGTGACTCTCCGCAGATTAGTCACTCTGCCCCCATTTGCCGCCAGTAGGTCGATCATCCGTCCCGGTGTACACACAACAATCTCGGCACCACGCTTCAGTTCGGCGATCTGGTCCTTGATAGGAGCGCCGCCATAAGCACAAACGGCCCGAAGATTCAACGCCTTCAAAAAGGGCTTGCAATCCTTGTGGATCTGAGTCGCAAGCTCACGTGTCGGTGTCATGATAAGCCCAATAGGTCCTTCCATGTTCTCCAGCGGCCGTTGGTCTTTGATATGTCGGAACATAGGAATCAAAAAAGCAATTGTTTTACCTGATCCAGTCTTGGCGACACCAATCACATCGCGGCCAGACATGATTGCAGGAATGGCCTGCGATTGAATTGAGGTGGGATTCTCGTAGCCGAGCCTGTGTATAACATCCAAGGTCTGCACGCCCAACCCGCACTGGGACCATTTCATAACTGGTTTGGGCACGTCAACTCCGCGCACTTTGATTCCGTCAAGTTCCAGCCGCAGGCTGGCAGCTTCTTCGTCGGTCATTTCAGCCAAGTTGGAAGGCTCGGTGTAGAACTTCTTACGGAAGGGCTCGTATTCCATCTTCTCATGGTCAACGGCCGGGATGTCCTTCTTCTTCTTAGCTTTGTTAGCAATCGCAAGGAAATCATCAGCGTCACCCTCGCCCACAGCGGTCAAATCCGCATCGTGTTCGTCGCCGAACATCGCCTCGGGCTGCTGTTCCTTCGCTTTGGCAAATCTGGCGCCAGTTGTCTTCTTTGGCGGAGCGGTCTCGGCCAGTTCCGACATGAAAGCATCCAGCGGGTCAACTTCCTCCTCCGCTGCATCGACCTCCATTTTCTCGGATTCTGGTTGGTGAGGGACGTCATTCATCTCGACGTCGCCGTTGGGCTGAGGCGCAGCCTCTTTTGACTGGGCTCGCAGAGCTTCACTCTGCAAGCGTTCTTCGCGCCGTTCCGCAGCAGCTCGTGCGGCGGCCGCATTCTCCTCCTCAGTCCCACCGTCCTGCATGTCGACATCATCTTCATCCTCTACCGCGCCATCCACAGCCGCCGTCTCATCTTTCGCATCCTCTAGTGGAGGGGTCGGTAAACGCTCCAGCTTCTTTCGTTTGGATTCCTCTTCACCAAAACCGAGAGTCTTAACTGCTGACGATTTCTCGGCATCTGCAACTTGCTTGGCGCCTAACCCGAAACCGCCAACATTCCGTTTTGCTGTCAACGTAGCTATACAAGAAACATTAGCAACTTGAAACGATCTTATGGTGGGAATAGATAACTTACATGAAGCGGTGCTGATGGCGGCTGGAGGTTTGTTAGCTTGTACATGATTATTCATGGAGGATAAGGAAGCGGACGCTTTGGCAGACTGAGGAACGGCAATATCGTTACCAAGCACAGCAGGTGCACTTGGGGCCGGTGCCGCATTTCGTACAATAGCCTTCGGGTCGAATTTGCCAGCATATTGAACAGGAGTGGCATCTGTGGTAGGCGTCGCTGGAGATTGCGGAGAGCCAACAGCCGGTGATAAACCCGATTTTCGATCTATCTCTTCCAAGATACTTCTTGCTCCGCCAGCTGCAGCGGCTTCGCGCTGCTTCCGTTCTCTCTCAGCAGCTTGCTTTTGCTTCCAGGCTTCCAATTTGGCCAGTCTTTCAGCTCGTTTCTCGTCCTCGGTTGGAGCCGCAGGCGCAGGGGTGGATGGCTTCGAGGTCTATTCACTTATTAGCATCAGGTTCATAGATATTTTCAAAAGCATTATAAGTTGAACGTACCTCTCGCGATTTGGAATCCAGATTCCTCGTCCGACTATCGTCCCGTCTAGACTTGTGCTTCAAGTCAGCAGAATCGTCTGTTCGCCTCCGAGCCCGGTCGCGGGAGTCATCTCGCCTGCTTCGATAATCTCTTTCGCGACTTTTCCGGCGATGATCCCGGTCATCGCCTCTATCCCTTGATCGGCGTCGATCGCGAGAACGATCCCTCCGGCTTGGCCGATAGCTATCTTCATCCCGGTGATCGTCGCGTCTGTCTATGGAGCGGTCACGTCTCCGGTATGAATCACGGTCGCGGTCGCGGTATCGTCTCTGTGACAGTCGCGAAGTTAGGATGATGATAGCCAAATAAAATTGCGCGATTGAAGCGGCAGAAAACATACCTCAGGGCTACGAGATCTTCGATAGTTCCTCCCATCATCTCGCCTGCTCTTCTCGTAGCGATCATCATCTCTGCGACTCCGTCTGGATGAAGAATACGTGCTGCCTACAGGTGACGGTGAGCGAGTATCCCCGTGGCGAGCCATTGTTGCAGGCCAACGATGAGTGAGTATTACTGAAACTCCAAAGACTCGAGCACGTAGTCAGAAAAGTAAAGCAATTTATTACCCTTCCATCAGCCGTTGAACTGTTGTTGACGGGCAATCAATAATCGGCACTGGTAGTAGTGAGTTGGTGGCGATGTAAGTGATTGGTTTTCGCTGGGGCTGCGGTTCTTCTTTTAAGTCTATCTTGAAGTAGTGTCAACCCAGGTCCATGCCCGCAGCAGGTCTCACGTGAGGCAACGTAAGGATCTACATCACGTGATGCATCATCCCGATTCGGAATACCCCAAACGAACCAAGGACGTGACCCAGCCCCCCGGTTTCATCTGGTGGCTAGCTAACCACACCACTGCAGCCAAGAGCTCTTGCTTAGCCAGGAGGACCTGCCCATCCTACTGCGATTCCTGCATTACTCTTCCACGTCAACTCTTGGGATATTGGTGCGCGTGACTTCGCTGTGAGTCTCAGAATCATGCCTCGGAATATAATCAAAGGCGGAGGGGGCATCCTCCAATACCTTCATCACAGCAATGCGTTGATTCGTCCTTCTCGCGTGGCCATCGCTAATGGCCTTGTCCGGCGCAATTGTCTCTCTACGAGCCGTCAGCTCGTGAACGCGACTGCGAAAACAATCCGTCCTTCAGTCATTCTATCGCGCCCTTTAATCAACTTCTTTGCGACTACAAGTACTCCCTATGAAGAGACCGAGACAACAAAGGCGAAAGGATCCAAGACTGGCAAGAAGACCACGAAGAAGCGCAGCTCCGAAGCTAAGGCTAAAGCTAAGCCGAAGCCCCGCAAGAAGTTGACAGACAAGCAGAAGGAAGCCAAGAAAGCTGAGAAGATGAAGGAACTGGTAAAGCAGCTCAAGAAGACAGCGCTGGAACCTCCCAAAAAACTGATCGAGAATCCTTGGAATCTCGCCATCGCGACGGTGGCCAAAGAGATTCAGGCTCGCGGCGTCAAAGGACCAGACTTCGTCATGCAATGTTCCCAACTTGCACAGACGATCAGTGCGGAAGAGCGTGAGGTACGTTCGGGATAGATCAAGCCACCACTGGACATTCACTGATGATGTACGATTTAGCGTATTGCGGTCGAGGCAGAAGCCAATAAAGCTGCCAATGCGGCAGCTTATGAGGCATGGATCCAACAACACACTCCTCTTCAGATCAGAGAAGCCAATGCAGCACGCCGCAGACTCAACAAGATTAAGAATACATCTCTTCGGCTTCTCCATGACGATCGGCAGGTCAAGCGGCCTCGTACGGCATATCTGCTTTACATGCTGGACCGGACTGCCGAGGGCGACTTCAAATATATGAAGGCCAAGGATATCGCAGTGCGCGTAACAGAGGAATGGAAAGGCCTGACATCTACGGAGAAGGAGGTATGTTCGGATTTGTCTCTCAGCTGGCAGCCATGAACCGTATCAATGGAGCTAACGCAGCCCTTCTAGAGATACCTCAGACAGGCTGAAGAGGATCGTGAGCGGTACCGCCGAGAATACCTTGAAGTCTACGGCGAAGAACCAGCAACTTCTCGCTCAACAACCGCCTCTCCAAGTCCTTGAGCTCGGTACTTTTACTGAAGGCTATTGTCACTTCACCTCATGGGATCGTCGCAATTCGTCATTGAGTTTCGAATGCGGGAAAGGATTGTCTATTGTATGGCTTACATGCATCTCGTAGGTATCTTCGTTCTGTCTGTGCCCTTTATCCGGTGTCTCTTTTTCACTGCGGTCTCTCTTGATACACCTCGGCCAGCTGTCTTATTCTGTACTTTATTGATTCCTCTGATCCATGGGTTATGTGCGTTTCGTGATTACTGTAGACAATGATATTATGGTCCTGATTGCCTCGAGCCACATAAGCACGTATGGCGGCGTCTTTTGTAAGGAAGACTCAATATCCGCAAGACAGCGTCTGCCTTAGTTTGGACCAGGTGGTCAAGGTAGTATCGGCTCCCGAAAGCCACCAACAAGGTACTCCATCCTTCGGCTCTGCTCCTGCAGCGGTGGGATGTGACTAATGCGGGGTCTATTATGGGGACCGCAGTCACCAGCAAATAGGTCTCTAATTGACCGGAGTAGATTTGACCAAGCTCTGTTGTTGTCTTATGTGCTTGAAGCAGGTGAGGATGGTATATGTATGTATGCTTTTGAGCAGTATTGAGAACCAATTCAGCTCACAGGATTCTCTGATGAGATATTTGTACTCCATTCACTGACATTGCACCTACTTCACAGAGCCTAGTTCAGGTGACGAAAGTCTCGTCCATGGGTTATCATTACATAGTGATATGTACAAAGTGGATCGATAAATCGACCGGTCCTGCTTTTCCGCGGTCTAGTCCTGGTCCGGGATACTGTACGGAAGTTCACCACTCCCTCCTCTCAGCGTCGTCTGCCAAAATTCCCCCGACTCGTGGGGCCCACGTTCAGATAGCTTCATTCCCACCGGACTCGACACCATGCGGTCCAGCGCATCGACAATCCGGCACTCCCAGTCGATCTTGGTGCCCAGTTCCCGCGCCAACATATTGCAGTGGACCATTATCTGCCAGCAGTGGTCCAAATGCCGCCGTAGCTGCCTCCGATTCTGTCGATGAAGCGGATCATGCGGCACCGGGAGCTGCGAACGCGAACGGGAACGATCATACTCTGTGCAGGCCGTGATCTGCAGAACTAGCTCCTGTGGCAACCTTTTCGCGCGAAGATACGCTTCAACCCGCGCCACGTCGACGGCGCTTCGGGTCTGATGCTGGACACCGGCGGCTCCCCCCTTCCCGCAAGCCAAGAACTCCTCGAAAGGCAGTTTGCCGTAGGGGAATTCTTCGTCGTCTACGCAAAGCTCCGAGATCGGTTCTGGCGTTTTCTTCAGCCACCAGCGGGCCTTTGCCAGCTCCTCGCGCAGCTGGGCAAGGACGGGCCGATCCCAACCGCGCGAGATCTGTAATGAGTAGCTGAAATGGCCCTCCAGGCCGAAAAATTGCCGGTGAGGGTGACGCGAGACGTCGCTTTCCAACCCGTCGTGGGTCCAAATTTTGACAGTCTGCTGATACATCCGCGTGGCGCGGTACTCGTCGGTCCGTTTCTTGTTTTTAGCTTGCCGGGACGCTGGATCCCAGAGCTCGGGAAAGCAGTAAAGGATGTTGAGAAGGAGGTAGATGTTTAGAGCAGCTTCGAAGACTTGGTCCCAGCCAAGATCCGCTTCCTATAATCAGTTAGACGAGCTGCTCATTTTTTGACATTGATAAAGGACTGCAGGACCAGGCCTGGATATTCGCCCACTTACCATACATCGGCAATTCCCCACAAGCATCGATTTCTTCAGATTGTTATCTGGTGTCGCGCACAGTCGCAGCACCGTATCCATCTCCCCCAGAACAAGGAGTGCGTTCAGCACCTGCAAATTGTAGAACACCTCGGTGTTTTCGGCATAAAACGTGTAGCAACTGTTCCGACGGTACGACCGCTGGAAAGCAGCTCCCTTCCGTTCGTGGTAGGGCAGGGGACACCCACAGGCAAACCTCTCGCTGTCGACATGTCGGCACAGCCCTTCTGTCTTCTGGACTTTATCCTCCAGCGGCCAGTCGTAGGCCTTGCACCATCGGTAGGCCAGGGGGCGGATTTGCTCCGCCACACGGTCGTTCAGGACCAGCTCGTCCGGCGTGAAGGGTGAATATTGGTCTGGATATTTCCGGCGCTCGTCCAGCGTATGTTTTTCGAGAGTCCTCACGAAGGATTCGATAAAGGAGCCGATTTCCTGCCCTTGCGTAGGTTTGAACCGAAAGTACAGATTGGAGACTAGGTCTGCCGCGGGGTAGGAGGGAGAGCGGTGGATGAGGTTAGCAGCTAGGATGTTCCAGTTGATGTTGTGCTCTTCGTGTGCCATTGTCGTCACCCTGAATTTCTACTTCGAAATAGACGATTTTGGGTGACCAACTGAGCATACATGTGCGGTTTTACAGGTACGCAAAAGATTATGGTACGATCGCACGGTAGCTTGACGACAGAATCACAGAGGATGCGATTGAGCTTATCCTCGCCCTAGATTGTTGAGTTTTGTTGAGATTGAACGATCGTGTGAGTTAAGTGAGTCAAGTACCAGGTATATATACTCCGTAGGCAGCGATCGGATAGAGTCGATGTCTCGGAATAGAGGCGTGGATAAGATTAAGCTAGGAAGTTTTGAGACTCCGACCAACGCTAAGAGGCAGTATGAATCAGAAGGCCAACACTGCTTCATCCTGACCAATATAGTCAACAGGAACTAATGAACAATCAGGTTAGTATGAAGAGGAAACCGACAATGACACAGACACAAGGCTCTCCGAGACGGTTCTAGATGCAGGCTGCTGCCGCCTATAAACTAACCAAGCCTATGTCTGTATGAGATGGTGAAGCTAGAGCATTGGCCCCGATGTTCGCACCAGCCCGTTCTTTGCAGAAGTGGATCATGTGCCAGGCCCCTTCATCTGTCTATAATGTCGTAATCGCACAAGAAACTGGTTATAGCGTCAACATGACCGGTGTTCGCCCAGTTAAGAGTAGTTGCTAGGGACGCCGAATAAACCACGCGAATACTGAGCAGGGATGCCCCAGAGAATCAGCCTACGCTGTGGCGCAATACGCGCGGCATGGTGAAGGGGTTAATGGCAACAATGCCTTACCAAAATCTCTCAGGCACGGAGGGAAAACGCAGAAGCAGAATGATGAAGTGCGCGACAAAGTTGAAGCAGTGGTGGAGGGCGACTTTATAGAACACGCACTTCAATGCCAAGCGATAACATGGCGCTTTTCTCGAATAAGGTAGGGCCGCTATACACTTCCAGGAATTTGCCGTCACCACAGACTACTGAGTACCTTGGCAAAGCTGGCCAAATCTAATCGATTACCGTATCGTAGTAGAGTCGGTCTGCATTCTAAACCAACCAAACAGCATAGATGGATGCAGCGAGTTCGTGAGGACCGCGGGGGA